TTCAGTAATTTTGTTATGTGCTTTTGTCCTTTTTTGTATTTTTATTTATTTATTTCTATATAGTTTTAATAATTATAGTATTTAAACATTTGTTTCAGTTAGTTACTAAGATGTAATATTTTATTTCCACTTTACTAAAAAAAAATTATGAATGTTTAGTTTTAGTAAACAAAAACAACACTGGATTAGTTCACCTCAAAATTTAAATTCTGCAATTCATTATTTCTCATATCTTTTTAAAGCCATATGCTGAATTTTTGAAAAATATTTATGCAACTATTTCACAAATACTGTTCATAGTGACCATGTCTGTCAAGCTACAAGGACAAAAACATCATGAGCACTATAAAAGTTCATATGACGGATTTTAAGTAAAAATGTCTGAAAAGTTCCTTACGCTGGTAATATAATGCACAATTCATATAGGCTATTGTTGTGGTGCTCTTTGTGTTTCCTGTACAGCAAATAATAATATCGATTTTATTAATTTTGAGTGTAGTGTCCCTTTAAGATGTTCAGCCTGTGCTTTGTTTTCTAGATTTTGGTCATTAAGCCTTTGCATAATTTTCTGTTCACCGACATTCAGCCACTTGTAATCTTCTAACAGGACATAAATGATGAGGTATGTCTCTGTGGCTTTCACGTGCACATGGACCGTATATTAAATTACTGATGTGAACCTGTCTGCTCCTGTTACGCAAACATACCATTTTGCTACTTGACTGTGACACAATTTGCATCAACTGCCACACTAAACAGATGAAGTCTGTTGTGAAAGCTTAATGAATAAGGCTGTTCTGTCTCATCTCTGCCTCCCCCTCTGATATCAATCTACAGCAATAATATCTTCTCATTTACTGAGAAGGATGGCTGTGGGACCCCTCATCTGTCGGACGGTCTGCGTCTTCCTCCCCCCACGTGCCAGCGCGTGGATGATCTATTCTAATCGCATCAATTGCACATTACTTCACATCCCATGATGCATCACTCCGCTTTAGCCAATCCATTACATATTTATCACATGGATGCTTTGTTGAAACCACCTCTGTACCAGCCACACGCTCTCAAACCCAACCGTAAGAAGGCTGACATGTGGCATTGCCATCAACCTAAAAAGCACAACCTGTGAGCGGAGGGGTCTAAAGAGGGCTATTGATCGGTGGCTGAGTGATGGATGGCAAAATAAAAGCTTGATAACCTCAACCCGACACCCCCCCAGCACCACCTGATCTTCAATCAGCCGAACCGTGCGCCGCAGGACGCCACCAGCTACAGGCGCACGAGCAGCAGGTTTTATTACCCCCTAAGAACAGTCGCAGGTCTAATTGGCAAACTGCGTACCAATATGCATATATCACGGCAATGAATACTTAAGCAGGGTTGTATTTAAGAGACGCCATGCGCCCAGAGCTCCCCTCTCTGAGCCGAGACATCAGCATTGCAGATTTATGCCGAGCCACTGTGAGGGAAAACATAAACACATGAGGCATTTGATGAAATTTGTCCATTAATGTGGCTCAGCGAGGGGGTTGGGGGCCCCTGAGGTTCATCATCAGAAAGCATCTACAGTGATCTCCTGGCTGCTTGTTGTAGCCGTGGAGTTTGTGTTGGCATGGAGACAGCAGCGTGGTACATGCACCCCTCCTGCGGCTAACAATAGCCTCGCCACAGTCTAATCATGACTCAGCCGCTAGGCACGAAATTAAAGGGAGAAAAAAACACAAATTAGGTACATGAGGAAGAGGGAAAGAATGGGAAGGGGCCGATCACATGTAATTCAGATGATGGCGAGAATAACGCCGCGCAAAAAGCCATTATGTTTGTTATTGTTGATTCAGGCTGCGTGTTATCAGATGGGGGAACAGTGCAAATTATAAATGCTTCTGTGTAGTCTCTCCATATCTCTCGCTTGACCACTCTCTCTATCTGCCTCTATCGATGCAGATGCTTTTCTTTGGCCAAATCAAATTACAGAGAAGGTTAGTTATTTGATAAACGCACAAAAACAAGGAACCACACTCATGCTTTCTCTCCCACATGCGCTTCCTCACTTTATGTTAGTGGACATTTTCATGTTGCCTTGCCAATTCTGCCTAGTTTATTTTAACCCATTTGTGCTGTTGAGATTGACTTGATCTAACACTCTACATCAGTGCTGTATGTGTGACAATAATAATGACATGTTCACATTTATTTTCTTTTGTAAATACTTTTATTACTGTATGTTTCGTTGAACTAATCAAAACCTAGACAAATATTATTATAATATATATAGACAATTTAATTTAATTTAATTAATTATTATCAGAATTAATCTCAAGTATTATCCAATTTGGTGAATGTAAAATAAAACGTTATTTATGTTGTGTAAAATTTCATTAATGTACACATTAACTTTAAACACTGTAAAAACTTTTTAAAAACCTGTGTTACATCAAAATATTGACTTCCCAGAAATGTTATCTACTACAGTATATTTATGTTTCTGCTTCTGTTGATCAGTTTTCCATTGAGGATGTGCAATGAATATTAAAGGGATAGTTCACCCAGAGATTAAAATTATGTCATTATTTATTTATCTTCGTCATTCCAAACCTGTACTGTCTCCTGTGGAACATAACAGAAGATATTTTGAGACACCAATAAAATGCTGCAACGCGTCTGATTAAACTCGTAGATCAGGTTCGGTTCTCTCTATTCATACTGGTTTTCTACTCTCTTTGCACTCATTAATTAGCATATTAGCGAAGCTTCAACAATAAAGGCTCGTTCTCCGCAACAACAGCCATTTAGTGACAGGGCTCTTGTTCCATTACAAAAGAATAATAGATTCACAAGGACACATTTCCTCCAACATACTCAAGATTCATGCCCCAGGAATGTATCTGCACGTGAGAAACCCAGACAACAGACATCTGGTGCCATAGACATCCCAAGGCGTACCTTATCAGCCGTAGGCAAATGGTAAAGCACTGCTAAATCCCTCTTCGGCTGTTGAGAATCTAGTTTGTGACTTGCTTCGAATTTCTGAAAATCAGTTTTTCATATTCTGTCATTAAATTCCTGACAAATACACATTGTTATTCAAAGCATAGGTTGTTATATTTTGTTTTTGGGATACTGGTATGTTGGTGTCCCTACCAAGCTTCTCAAATAGCTTCACCAACAATCTCCCAGTATGTGAAAACCAAGGTTTGACCAGCATTGTTGTTGGTGAACAGCATGGCTATACTGTTTCACAAGTTACACCAGCATCTAACCAGCTTGTAAGTTCATGCTGATCTAAACTGGATTCAGCAGGGTCGGCAATAAAGAATACTACTTTTAATGGATTTAATATATTTAATGTTCCCATTGAGATGTTAAATTAAGTCATTTTGGCTCAAATCGGCATGAATATTGTAGAATATTGCCAGCTGTGGCATTATATAGTGATATATACACAGTTATATATTTCAGTGCATTATAAAGAGATGTACCCAATATATAACTCACTCTCGAATATGTATTGAGGGTTACAGCATGGATATTAATTCTTGCTTTCATCCTCACAATCTACATTCTGACATTTGCATGTTCTCCTTCATCCATAACCATATTTATCAGTTGTGGATGGAAAATGTGAGCTTGCATAAAAATTGAGCCACTAAAATATCTGTCTGAACTACTATTAGTTATATATTTTGTTTGTTAATCTATTCCTATTCCTGCTTCAAGAATTGGGATTTAGGTGGTGCAGCATTTTGTAACATTATGTGTAACATTATATGAGTCTGATATACAGCAGGTTATGTAATTCTAGGGCATTTGCAGATGAGTTGGACCACAGAGAAAGACGCTGAATTTGTGTATGTTGTGGTTGTTGCTCAGCATTATGGAAATAGTATCTTTTGGCTAGGATAGGTGGTGTGTAGTTTACCATGGCTTAAAATAATGAATGCAGAATCACCAAAGCCAGCATATCTTACTTGCATGTTTGCATTAAGTATTATTTCTTTTCTCTGTGTGTGTGTGTGTGTGTGGTGGCAGAAACAGCTGAAGTGTCTGGAGTGATGGACAGAGTAAAGCGCTTTTATGAAATTGAACATATTAATTCAAAGTCCAGTATCTTTTGGCTAGGATAGGTGGTGTGTAGTTTACCATGGCTTAAAATAATGAATGCAGAATCACCAAAGCCAGCATATCTTACTTGCATGTTTGCATTAAGTTTTATTTCTTTTCTCTGTGTGTGTGTGTGTGTGTGGTGGCAGAAACAGCTGAAGTGTCTGGAGTGATGGACAGAGTAAAGCGCTTTTATGAAATTGAACATATTAATTCAAAGTCGAGGAGATTAAGTTGAGCAGAAAAGCTTTGCTTAACTAGAAAAGGTGCTGTGATTTTCAGTAGTAGAAAGTAAGACTTTGGATAAGAGTCAACCCATCTTGACCATACTCATGGTGCTCCTCGTAATAAGTCTTTACGGCTTGATGTGGACAGGAACTTAATAAAATAGGATTATCTGAAGCCTACATTTTGGAGACAAAGGATGCGAGTCAAAGCATGTGTTAACCTTGGTTATATTTTTCTCCTAAACGCAGCCCGTTCTGTCAACATCTGCCTTCCCCCTCCCCACAGAACATCATTTATGTGCATTTGGATTCTGTCATACTCTAATTCATCACTCAGTGGCTCTACTTAGTAGACCTTGACAAGCCTTTTAAAATCCTCCCACGTTTAAACAGACACGCATTTATACAAAGCAGAGCAACCTTGAGTTAGTGAGGAGCATTATCCCTTGTCCATAAAGACATCCTATTCAAACTACTCTTTTTCCACACTTTTGTGTTTTAGATTGAAGTACATTGAAGCTGCATGTTCTGGGTGGATTCCAGGAGGATGAAAGTGACAGACAGAGAGAGCGAGAGAGAAGAGGATGTGTAACTGCATTACCCTTTTTTGTACTTACACTTTTTTTATTATTATTATATTTCAAGTATGTTTTCAAACAGTGCCATCAAATGGCCATTTCATCAGCATACTTGCACTTACGTGAAGGTGGCTATAATACCATAACAAATGTAAAATCATAATGATATTCACTTTAGTTGATGCTTGTACACATGTGACTAACACAACATTAATTGAGGGATGCAGTTATACAGTTTCAGCCAGTTAGACTAATATTCATGGTGGTTTACTGAAGGCAGTTAGATGTATTTGGTCATACAACAACACCCCTAAACCGACTCAGCTGGTAGCTTATGTAGTCAGACAGCGCTATCTGCTGTTATATAAAGAAAATGTTATACTTTCTCCATGATACAATAGTTTGACGTTCACAAAGCTTAAATAAAACACTATAAACAAATGACAAAACTCTCTCTTCCTTAAGTTTTCATAATAATGTTGGGGAGTTATGTCTAAGTCTGGAACCTGGATTTGTTGAAATAAATTGTTGCGTAGGTTACACTGTCTGATGTAACTGTTGTCTGTGGAAAGACAAGACAAATTAACAGCAATAAATAAACTATTTTGGGGTAAAATGACAATCACATTTGGCAGCACAATAAATTAACACCAATACTTAAATGAAAAAATAGTAATACACTATTTTTGGACTGTAACAGTATTAACAAACATCTGCACTCACCTCATCTCTTTTATTTATGTTTGTTTTTCCTGCAGAAAAAAAAAGGTATTTAAGAGAGGATGTTCAGATGAGATGATGTTTCACAATTTCTGAAGGAAAAAGGTCTTACCATATCTGTTTCGTCTTATATTACGGTATATTTCAGGACTGTTTTCTCTGTTTTCCAGTGTGCTGCTGCGCTCTACTGGAAGAAGAAGAAAACTAGACCTTCAAAAAAATTTGGAAAGCTTGTGAGCATAGAAGTCACCAGTATGATGCTAGGGTTTTGTGCAATTTTCAATCTATGTGTGTTTAGTGATTTCAGTAAAATAAAAATATCTAGCAGCTAATGGATATATGAAACTAAATATATTTATCTGATTTGAATACCTCTGTCATTCCTCATTTGGCTGATATTGATGTAGACTGGTTCAGACTCCTGAGGGTCAGAGTGCACTGAAATGATTGCAATAGCAAGAGTAAGTAAGTAAGAAAGAAATCATTCACTCTGAAAGATTATTAAAAGACAAAAGAGACTATTTTGAAAAGATGAATAACTGATAGTATTTTTGTACCTGACATACGTTTCCTGTAACAGTAATACAAGAGAGCTCCAAGCAGAATCCCAGTTAACAGAGCCAAAACACAGGATGCTGTAGCCGTTGCATGTTTGTTGATTTCTGAAAGAAAATAGAGACTTTATTAGTAAGTTCAAAGTGTTAACTAACTTAATTTGTTGATTTTATTTTGTACCTGGAACATAAATATAAGCATTTTCATGTACACTATGAGCCTATACTTTGTATTAAGGTTAAATGTACTGTACATTAATAGTTATAAATATAATGTAAATAAATCTTATTCTGAGTTAAGGAGAAAATACTGTATATTAATGGTTCAAAGATAATACTTTGGTTTGTTACAATTGAAGTTTCTGTTGACATACTTGGAGCATTTGTAGTTGTTGAGGTAAGACTGTTTGTTATGGGGGCCAGAGCTCTGAGTGTATTCTCAGTAAAAACTGCACACTGCCAGTTCATCGGGTCTGTTTCATAGCTGGATAGATTCACTGTGAGTTGTAACTTGTTATTTTTCTCAGTCATAATTTGCTTTTTGTCCAGAACTCCTCTGTTCCCCTCCATCATGAGCCAGACCAGCATCACTGAACCAGTTACTTCAGAAAGCTCACAGGTAAGAACCACTGACTGATTCCTCAACACACCATCAGGGGGCTTCACTGAGACTGAAATAAACAACAACATGGACAAATTTTTTAATGCACTGAACATTCATTTACAAAACAAGTTATTCTGAAGGTGTCTGATCAAATGTAAATGAAAAATCAATGTATTTATTACGGATTGATTGATTGATTCATTTATTGATTAATTCATTGACTTTTTGCAAACCTCTGATGGTGTGTAGTATTATTGTTGTGTAGATGCCAGTTTCTGTAATACACCTATACGTCCCTCTGTAATTGAAGTTCACAGGTGAGATGTGAAAGATTAAAGCTTGACTGTTGTATGTGGCTGAAGAGCATCTCCCTGGTTTAATTGGTCCTTTTAAGTGAACTTGTTTTTCTTTTTCAAAGGCTATCAGATCAATCTGTGAATTAGGACTCGGCTCCCAGGTCCACTTCAAGCTGTCATATTTCCTGCTAGATTTGCAGATGAGTAATACATCACTATTATTGGAGCTTTGTCTGTAAATTAGATTTTTTTTTCTTCCATTGTGTGAATCTGGAAATGAAATAGGTAACCTGGTTTATTTCAGTGAATATATCTCAGTTAAAACATTTCATTTCTATGCATATTTGTGAAAGGCAAATAAAAAGAAAAAAAAACACACACAAGAACAAACTTCTGCAGAATCCTTAATGGAAACGATTATAGATCATTAAGATGTTGGCATACAACTCAGAATTAACTTTAAAATATATATACTTACGTGAAGTGACATTAAGTGTGTGAATCCTAACAGTTTGTACTCTTCCATCTTCCATCAATTTACAGTAATATGTCCCTTCACTGCGTTCATCAACAGTGTGTAAGATGATGTAGGCAGAGTTGTTGTACATCAGTGTGGTGTTGGATATTTGTTCTCCGTCTTTCTCCCAGTGCAATGTGGAGGATTCAGACAGGAGAGGGAAGTCACATCGCAAAGATACATCAGATCCACGCACGACTTTGAGAGATGGAGTATTAGAACTGTGAGAAACTGTATAGATTTTTCTTGTAAAACACTTTTTTTTTTTTTAATACTGTTGAATACTTTTAAAATATTTTTGCTGCACAGAAATTCAACCAACCTTCATTTTGGGTCTGAACTGTTTGAACTGGTGGATATGCTGTGAATAACAGTTACAACGATTACAACAACAAACTGTGCAGGACAAACCAAGCTGCTAGTGCATCAGCCGAGGACCCAGCATTACCAGCATTTTCTAAAACATTTGAACAAAGAGAGGCTGCAAGCTTACTAAATAAAACATTGTTTTGAATTTTCTATAGTGATTGTTAATCACTGACACAGATTACGTTTGTTACATTTGTTTTGAAAAACAGATGGAGTATTAGAACTGTGAGAAACTGTATAGATTTTTCTTGTAAAACACTTTTTTTTTTTTTAATACTGTTGAATACTTTTAAAATATTTTTGCTGCACAGAAATTCAACCAACCTTCATTTTGGGTCTGAACTGTTTGAACTGGTGGATATGCTGTGAATAACAGTTACAACGATTACAACAACAAACTGTGCAGGACAAACCAAGCTGCTAGTGCATCAGCCGAGGACCCAGCATTACCAGCATTTTCTAAAACATTTGAACAAAGAGAGGCTGCACACTTACTAAATAAAACATTGTTTTGAATTTTCTATAGTGATTGTTAATCACTGACACAGATTACGTTTGTTACATTTGTTTTGAAAAATACAGTTACGTCTTTAAACCGACACTTCATTTGAATTTGATAACAATAGAGACTGTGAAAACTACAGATTAGTGTATTATATCAATTGTTTTTATTACTTTCATTTTGTTTTACAAATCGCTTGAACATTATTAAATAATTCTACAATTTATCAATTTAGCGTAAAATCAACAAACACCAAAAGAGGGAAGAATTACACAATATCTTGAGAGAATAATCTCCTTCTTGACAGAGTAATCTCTTTCTTGACAGACTCACCGATAGCGTGCAATTGGGAACAAAATCCACACATCAGAATAAAGATTTTAATAGGTGTAAGCGGCATGATTCTTCTTTGTAGTGCCTCAGCTAAAGTGATGCACTCTGAAGAGTTTAAAGAAAGAACTAGCCAGCAGCTTTTACTGGGCGGTGCGATATTCAGAAATCTGCCTGTCATAGAAAACAATCAGCTTATGAATTTTAAACAAAATGTCCATGCAGAGAGATACTGTACTAGATAAAACTAATAATTTTTTTAGTGTTATCATGTTAAATTACATTTAGAAGTATAAACAAATAGCCTAAAAAAATGTTATTCACAGTAAAAAAAAAAAAGTATTTTGAACTCTTCTGTTTGTACATCTATTGGTTAAATAGTTTGTCTTATTTCATTTAAATCAGGCATGTCTGAAGACAAATATTGTTTTTAGACTTGTCTGGTTTGCACATTTAGCTAATTTCCAGAGCAGGAAATGGTTTGCTAAACTGAGCTATCTTGAGGTTTCTCTCAGTCACCCAAATCTGTGATCTAAACTCACAAACTTACTAACTTTATTGAGGAGGTCTATTTTTGAAGCTCAGTCTCTTTGTAGGCACATGCACATCTAAATATTGAAATGTTCCCCTGTCATTGCCCATGAAAAATTATTAATTTAATTTAATGTATTGTTATTGTACATAATTATAATCATTATAATTTATTAGACAACAAATGTCAGTACTTTAATATTAGCATTGTTACTCTCTTGTTTTTAGCTACAATTCTTTAATATTTTTTGTAATTATTATTATTATTTATTTTTAGATTAATTTAAGCCATTGTCTTCATAAGGCCATTTCAAACGTGCCTGACAACATTTAATACTTAAACATAGTAACATAACTTTTTAAAGGCTTCAGTGCAAATAAGCAATGCAATAATTTTACATTTCTTTTGATGAATATCTCATGGTTTAACTTGCTTGTAATGTAAGTTTTTCCCCCATACCAGGAAATATTGTGCTACATTTAAAACAGTTGTGTGTTATGAAACCACAGTGGGGTTTCTTTCTGGCACATGAGCATATTGATTCAAGTCTGATTACTCAGCGATAGTGTTGCATTTATGTTTTCTACTGCAAATGAAACCCAAAGAATCATTGCATACAGATAGTATGCAGATACACCCATACAATCTTACTAGAGCATAAAACAAGAATTATCAGTCTTAATTCATTCTTAATATACCAAAATAATGAATAGCTTGCTATTATTAATAACATATTAATTTGATTATTTAAATTCCATACAGTAATATATAAAAAAGAAATACAAAGTTTTACATTTATTTATTTAGCAGACCTTTTATCCAAAGCAACTTACAAATCAGAAATAAGTGATTCACCACATAAAGAGGCAATAAACTCAAATGCTAATACAAAGTTTAAAGGTGATGATACACAGTGTAACATTTTTAGCAATGTTGTTGTCAACAGGCAAAAATCTTTTATCTATTTTGAAATCTTCTCTTTGAACATGTTTTGGTTGAAACAGCTCTGATAACCCCATTTTAGGTCATCTTAATAAAGCATGCTGAAAACAAATGTTATTTTTAGACTGGTCTGGTTTGCACATTTAGCTAATTTCCGGAGCAGGAAATGCTAAACTGAGCTATCTTGAGGTTTCTCTCAGTCACACAAGTATGTGTTCTAGAGTGTGATCTTAAACTCACAACCTCAACAGCTTCACTGAGGAAGTCTATTTTTGAAACTACAAAAAAATAATAATAATAATTTTAGTATGAGCTACAGCACTACTATCTTGCTTGCTCTGAGTTTTATAAAGCATTAGTCTTTGTAAAGCTATGCTATAAAAAAATATGTAAAGGGCACAATAAACTATTTATTCAAATACATTTTCCGTATTTGTCTTTTACAGGTGTTTTAGGGTTAATGGAAATGTCCGTGAAATTACTGGATAATGTCCTGACAGAAAATTACAATTAGGCTACTTTTTTTTTACAGAGTACTTTGGAACTACATGTATTGAAAAGTGCTATAAATAATGCAAATACACTACCATTTTTTTTGTTTTTGTTTTTGGAAGAAGTCATTTGATCAAAAATACAGTAAAACAGTCAGTATTATGAAATATTATTTAATACAGAAAATAAAATGAGTCTTTTCTATTTGAATATATTCTGAAATGTAATTAATTCCTGTGATGCCAAACTTTAATTTTCAGCATCCATTTCTCCAGTTTTCAATGTCACGTGATTAATTCATATTTTTTCAAGATGCTTTGTTGAATAAAAAGTGTAGCAGGACTACATTTATTTCAAATATGAATCTTCTGCAAGATTATTTCTTTACTGTGATTTTTGATCAATTTATATGTGTAGTTGCTAGATAAAAGTATTAATTACTTTTAAAAAGTGGTAGTGTAAATCTAATTGAACTGATCTGTTGTGACAATCATTTCTGGACATTAAACCGCCTTATTTAGGCTTTTCAGGAAAACGTAAATAAAAATATATATAATGTAAAAGATAACATGAAATCATATTTTTATTTATTTATTTATTATTTATTTCCAGTGGAAGTATTATTTAATAAATTGCATGAAAGTAGAATAGAATTGAACCAGAACAAAATGTAATGAAGAAGAAGAAGAAGAAGAAGCGATGTCAATTTTGAACTAGGTGTTTGAAATTAATGTTAATGTTTGTGTTCTTTGTGCTGGTCTCAGGTGATTGTAATTAGACAAGAGGTATACGAAACATTTATTGTTATTATTATTATTATTATTGTTAAATTTCTTTAAGCCTAAATTTGCAATACAAATTACTTTCTATAGGTTTCAGTGTACATAGGTTATTCTGTAATTTTCACATTTCTTTTTAAGAATATTTATTTTTTCTTTCTTTTTTTAAAAATCTGACTTTTGGTTAGTTTAAACATTAGTTCCATAACTTAATAATCTTAGCTTCTTTTACATTTAACACAGTTGTGTGTCATGAAACCACATTGATACATCTTTCGGGTATATGAGCATATTGATCTGAATATACACGTGTTGGTGTAGCATTTGTGTTTTCAATGCAAGTGAAACCCAAAGACCCCTTGCTTACAGACGGAGCACACATTGCACTTGAGCACAGTAATTCATTAGTCTATTGCTTTAGTATACCAAAATAATGAATGAGCATGCTTTTATTAATACAAAATTCACTCAGTTTTTTTCAACTGCTTACACACATTTTCAAAACTTTACACACAAATCCAATAAATGCCCACACAAAATGCAAAATGCCTCACATCTCTTGCAAAATGAAGCACTGCATTCAACATATCACAAACACATCTCAAAAGCAAACATTTGCAAACACCTTTGCCACAATATTTGTGTGTTACATAGAGAATTGTGTGTTGTGTTTTGCAAAAAGTGTTTTATGAAATTGAAAACAGAGTCAAAGGCTGAGAATTAGTGTATGGTTTTGCAGACTTGGTGTGTGGTTCTGGTGTTTGAGTGTCAGGTTTCAAAAATTGTGTTAGAAGTAAAGATTTTGTATGTAAGCAGTTGAAAAAAAAACAGTAAACCAATGTCATGATTACACTAACAAATGTGTTAGTATTAGCTATAGAACTTTTAGATGTACAGTGCCTTGCAAAAGTATTCATTTTTTTCATGTTTTATGTTGCAGCCTTATGTTAAACTGCTTTAAATTACTATTTTCCCACATCAATCTACACTCCATACACCATAATGACAAAGCACAAAACAGGTTTGTAACAACTTTGCTAATTTATTAGAAATACAAAACTGAAATGATTCCATTGCATAAGTATTCGGTATTTTCTGTGACACTTGAAATTTAGCTCACGAGCACTCATATCGCTTGTAGATGTTACTACACATTAATTTGAATGAGTATGATTTGGAAAGGCACATACCTGGGGAAGAGTTCAGAAAAAAATTCTGCTGCATTGAAGTTTCACAGAAGCATGTAACCTCCATTATCCATAATGGAAGACCCTTGGAAAAACTAGGACTCTTCCTAGAGCTGGCCTTCTGGCCAAACTGAGCAATTGATGGAGAAGGGGTTTGGTTATACTGGTTGTATACCAACAACCTGATGGACACTC